TAGATAGATAGATAGATAGATAGATAGATGGAGAGAGAGAGAGAGAGAGAGAGAGACAGACAGACAGACAGACAGACAGATAGATTTCCACTTTCCTGCCCTTGATTTCGCCGGAAGGGAAAATAATATTGCATTACGTTCAAAAAATAGAGAGGATGCTAGACACTCAACACAAAAATACACACACACACACACACACACACGCACACACACACGCACACGCACCAGCCACCTCCTCGCCCCTAGATGCCTTCTGGAAAGGCAACCCTGCTTATGTAAATCAGGAGTTTTTACACACTCACGTAATAGTCTTTATACCAACTTTCCAGCTTCTCCTGCAAAATCCTGCAGGTCTCATTGTGGATTAGTCTTCTCAAGGTGTCAGCCATGCTTGCCAGAGATGGCGACAAGAAAGGGCGAGCCAAGGCTGCTCTTGGGGCTAAAGAAAAGGCTTCTTTCCCCAACGAAGCGAGGGCTATTTCTTCCTCTTGGGGCTTCGGCTGATCTCCACCCCGGAGGTCCCAACGAGGAGTTGTCCTTAAACGGAGGGCGGCCTCCCAAATGGGCTCAGCCTGGGGTTTGTCCTTGCAAGCCTCCTCTTATGATTGGAGCATTTTTATACTCGGTGATTGTTAAACAAACTGACGTTTGCTTTGCTCGGCTGTCAGGGACGCCACGGCTGCGCGGAAAGAGCCCACTTCTTTCGGTTGTAGCAACGCCGAAAACCCCACCTTCCCTTCTTCGCTTTCTGCTTGACGGGCTCCTTTGGCTCCAACCCCGGGGGGATGCGGGAGAAGCGCGGCTGGCTTGAGCAGGCAAGAGCAGCCCGGGAGGAAAGCTTTGGGAAGAAAACATGATGGGAGATCGCTCCCCGAATCGCTCGATCCCCCCGCGGGATCTTTCCCATCGCAGCCAGCCAACTGGTGCCTCGCCTTGGTTTCCAAGAGGGGAGTCTGGGAAGCGCGCAGAACGACAAAAACGACTTTTATTACGTGATGCTGCGGACAGAAAACTGACGTGGGGAGGGGGCGGCGGGAGAAGAGAAGGGGACCCCATTGGAAGTTCAGATCATGAGCGAAATATTGCAAAGAAGAGCCGCTCTCCCTCGGGTCTCTGGCGGCTCAGGCGTTTCTTCCCGCTTTCCAGGCAGGCTTTCGCCACGGCTAGCCCGCCCGCGAATGATAGGGACGCGCGTGTGGCGCCTAGGTGACTCTCCTCTCGCGTCATTCTAAGGACTCGGGTTCCTTTTTCAAAATAATGCATTAATTTTCAGATCACGATGGAATCTATACATTACAAGGGAGCGGAAAATGAACCCACTTCTTGTTCTGATCATTCTTCTCTATATCTTGAAAGTATCCATCCATTCATTCACTCATCAACCTCGTCCATCCATCCATTCACCCCCCCACCCACCCCATCCACTCATCCACCTCCCTCCCCAGCCACCTTCCCCATTCACCCATCCATCCATCTACCCACCCACCTTCATCCATCTATCCATTCACCTACCCACCCCCAATTCATCCATCCAACCCCTCCATCGATCCATCCATTCACACACACCTCGCCCCCATCCATCCATCCATCCATCCATTCACCCACCCCATCCACCCATCCATCTATCATATAAAAAGTCTACACACCCCTGTTAAAATTAAACTTTTTTTTTTGAGATGTTGAAAAATCAGACCAAGATAAATCACTTCAGATTTTTTTACATCTTTAATATAACATATAAGACATACAATTCAAAGTGTGCACACTCTCTTATAAGTAGGAATGTGACCGAATTAACTGAATATCCAAACTGATTTTAAATAGTGGTCAGTACACACCTGTCATCAATTAAAGTGGCCCATATAAAGTTCAGCTATTTTTTCTGATATTCACTCAGCTGCCTTAACTTAAAACTTTGTTGGAAGGTATTATTCAGATAAGGGATATCGGGTACAGCAATGGGTGATGACCTCTTTCTATCGGTGCATGATAGAAAGTGTTCTCACGCTTACGCTGGTTTAACTGCTATGGACAGGAAGGCACTACAGAGAATGATCAAGAAACCATTGGTTGCCCTCTAACACCATGATATCACCAGGTCTCACTGCTTTAGCAGAATAAGGAAGAATGAGAGAGAATAAGATATTGCAACACATGTGTAGCATTTGTTTTAATTGTTGTGGTCCATCAGCAGCCTGCGGAGCTGGCAGAAGAGTCGGACAGTGAGGAGGGTGGGGAGGAACATGTTCCAGTCCTGGAGTCTGGGGAAGGATCGGATGCGGGCTCTGCGTCAGAGGCAGAGAGGGGGCCAAGGCCATCTGGTAGTTACGTGCTACCTTCAGAGCTTCTGGAGTCTGACATCAGCGAGGCAGAGGAACAGAGGGAGCCTGTTCCCAGTGTGCGCATATGCAGAGCTGCCAGAAGGCAAGAACAATTAAGAAAACAGGGTCGACTCAGGAGTAAGGCTTGGAGATGATTGGCCCCTCCCATAGGACATAAAAGAGGAGCAAACGGGACCTGAACTTTTGCAGGAAGCAATTAGTCAATTTGATTAGTTCAAGATTTGAGTTTTGTTTGACTCTGTGCTAAGTTTGGCCTTGTAAAACTAATTCGGCAATTAAGTCTCTGGTAGCATTTCAAGGGAGATAAGATGGGTGCTTATCAACACTCACAGTCTGAAAGGCTGTGGCAACTCAAGCAGACACCTGTCGGAATCTTCACAGACTGTTTGTAAAGCCTTGTGGGCTGTGAATGACCATAATTCTATACTATTCTAGTCTATTCTGTTATATTCTATTCTATTTTCTATTCTCTATTCTATTCTTTGTTCTATTCCATCCTATTCGCATTCTCTTCCATTTCCATTCCTATTCTATTCCTATTCTCTTCTCTTCTATAGTATTCTAATTCTTATTTTATTCTCTATTNACCTTCATCTATCTATGCATTCACTACCCACCCCCATTCATCCATCCGTTCACCTCCATTCATTCATCCAGCTCCTCCCGCCCCCATCCATCAATCCATTCACTCTGAAAAGAGTGCAGAGCATCCCCATCATCATCATGTGATCAAAATTCAGTCGCTTGGCAACTGGTTCATACTTATGACCATTGCTGGGTTCCAAGGTCACATGATCCTCTTTTGCGACCTTCTGACAAGCAAAGTCGATGTGGAAGCCAGATATACTTAACCACCGGATTACTAACTTATCCACTGCGGTGTTTCACTTAACAACTGGGCCAAGAAAGGTCGTAGAATGAGACATAACTCACTGAACAAATGTCTCACTGAACAACAGAAATGCTGGGCTCCACTGTGGTCATAGGTCGAGGACTACCTATAGGGACTATGAAAAAGAGTGGACAATTTTACTGTATCCCAGGGTCATGTCATCCTCTTTTGCTACCTTCTAACAAGCAAAGTCATTGTGGAATGTATGCATCTGAACTAGACCGTGTTGTTTCTCTGTGTCATATATGTGGATACGTGCACAATTTTGTATTTATTTATTTATCTTCTCATGTTTAGGTCTATATTAGAGGTGGAAACTCTTTGAAAGTTGTATGTCATGTAATTTCATTTCAATGTATGCCGATTAGTGTACATTCAAAGTGACAATAAAGTAATCTATTCCTATTCTATTCTATTGCATTCCATTCCTATTTCTATTCTATTCTATTACTATTCTATTACTATTCTCTTCTCTACTATTCTAATTCTTATTCTATTCTCTATTCTATTCCATCTATTCTATTCCTATTCTCTTGTCTACTCTTCTAATTCTTATTCTATTCTATTCTCTGTTCTATTCCATTCCCTTCCTATTCCTATTCCTATTCTTTTCCCTTCCGTTCCCATTCTATTCCTATTCTCTTCTCTTCTATACTATTCTAGTCTATTCTGTTATATTCTATTCTATTTTCTATTCTCTATTCTATTCTTTGTTCTATTCCATCCTATTCGTATTCTCTTTCCTTCCCATTCCTATTCTATTCCTATTCTCTTCTCTTCTATACTATTCTAGTCTATTCTGTTATATTCTATTCTATTTTCTATTCTCTATTCTATTCTTTGTTCTATTCCATCCTATTCGTATTCTCTTTCCTTCCCATTCCTATTCTATTCCTATTCTCTTCTATAGTATT